GTGTACGAGAGCTCGCGACCGACATAACCTCGTACCAGTCAAAGCGCATTAATCGGGAGCTGGAATTCGTGGCGAAGGTCTGCTTGTTCTTGACATTGCGGACTACCGCGTGGAGAGCGGCCTGGCCGACTGTCGATCTCGTCAGTGAACGAAATTAAACGGGAGGCTAAAGAAGGTCAGCGAGCGCGTGCGTGTAACCGCGTATTAAGTAGGTAAAGGTCGTAAGGAACGCGTTGCTGCGGAAGAAGGAGATTGTCACGTTCCCGTGTTCGCGCTCACGCTGATGCTTTTTTACCTCACCCGACACGTAAACACGCCCCCGTGCAAACTTTAACGACATTCGTATAACCGACGCGGGTATCGTCGATCGAATCGATCGCGAACGAAGATTCTAGACTGTTTCGAGGTTACCTTCGTTGCGTCTACTCATGAACCAGCCAAGTCAAATCGCTCAAATACTTCTGCATTCATCTTTCAACGTCGATGTCTATTTTTAACATTGAAATTTCATCGTTCAAACGGATTTATTCTGGATTTACAAAGGAACAATAGCTTCAATTGTGTTCTTCGACGATAATTGCAAATATCGTTCATTCTATGCCTGCAAATGAATGAAATATATACCGATGAGAAAACGAATGTATATATGGTGAAACAAGCTCGAACAAGCTACGATCGCAACGAAGCGATGCATATCTCCGGTCTACGCGTAGTTCGGTTTATGTTAATTCGAGATTGTAACACTGGTTAATTACGTATATCGGTTCAAACCGTACACCACGATTCGAAATAACGGAACGTATACCGATCGTTCGATTCTGCCACAAGCAAGAGGACAACGGGCTCCCCCAGGAAAGCACGCGGCCTACGCGCTCTGCAATTTTCCCTCGACCTCCTTTCCTTTGCGCTTCTCGAAAACGCTTGTCAGCCCCGTTAGCTTCCTTTCAATGCCGACAAATCATATCTCTTTTTTTCTCCGTCTCCTACCCTCTCACTCGATGCTTTCATATTTAGTATCGTCCACAAGGAAATTCCACGTTTCTTTCCCGTTTCAAAATTTATTTTTCATCTCGCCTATGCTAACTGACGTAATCCACGTAACGTCCTTTACCACGAAAAAGGAAAAGAGTATATAACGGTAAGTGGGTGGATCGATGTGCCGCGGGCGAAATCGACGAAACAGAGACATCTGTCGTGAATCTCGTCACGATCGACAATCGAACGACATACCTATCGCATCCACTATGCTATCGATTGCATCATCGTTTACTCAAGGGTGGTAATGAAACTATATATAAAACTAATCTATCTTATTCGCTTAGTCGTGGGTGTTTTCGTCAATCTCATGTGATGTAAGCAACAAGTAACGATGTGACGCAAACGGTTAAAACAAACGTGAGAAAGTAAAGAAGACAGAAGGATGGCAAAAAGTATTATTGTTCGTGCATGAGAAAAACAAAGACGATAACGAACGAAGTATAGTTTCTAAGTAATCTATCTTTCATCAATCATGTCAAATGTTATCGTACTCGATGAATCAGACGCGGCAAAAAAAAGGTTGGTTATTAATTCAACGGCTATGTGATACAGGACAATACCGTCGCTGTAGAAAAATGAAGTGTAATATCCGGGACAGGGGTAAAGGAAACGTTTGGCTGCGAGGAGTACAAAGTGATTTCGATCGAAGGCCACGATCAACTGTCGGCGAACGAAACGCGTTAATAAATTAGCAACGACTCGTTTAACCGAGCGACTTCGTAACGTTTCCTCGGTCAAAGCCATAAGTTCCATCGGGTAAATTGGAAAAACTGAGTGGCGTGGCGAAGGGCAAGGTCGTAGCATTGTATTATTTTACAAATCGCTCCACTGCGTGTCGGAATCGTTATTCATCGATCACAACGAACCTGGCGAAATTGAGTTACATTATAAATGACATGCACTCCAGTCGCCGCTTACCGACCGATACTTCCTGCTGTCACTCTGTCACATCGCAGATGGTGTACGCGTATTTGCAGACCTGGCGCTTTCTAATCAAATCTCTGTTCCAGGTCTACAACCGTTTCAAAACCACAGTTGGACGATTAGAGGAAACGTCTGATCTTTCGTAAAGCGTCCTTGAACAATCTCGGAAGCACCGGACCGGTCGGCCATTTTGGAAAGTTCCAGAAGTTCTCGCTGTTGTCAGATCTGACTCCGTAGCAAAGATTGATCCGTCGAGACAATTTATTCGACGATCGACTACGGAGCAAGTCCGATGCGAATCTCGACTCGGGATCATCGTACGTTGGAAGGATTATCGCGAATTCGATCGTGTAGACCTAGCTCGTGATTTGCTTCGCGTTTACATTCCACGTTTGCATATCGCGGACGGTGATTTTAGAGAATGAACTATAGCAATAGTCTCTCTGGTAGAACGAACAGGGTCAGGGTAAAAGGCAATGATGGGAGTAAAGCAGGATACTTTCAACGGGACGAGCAATGCAACGATACAATCCGATTTCATTTCGAACCGTGCATATTTTCTAAACGTAGATCTCTCCCTCTCCTAACCTCTAAAATCAGCCAAACGGCCATTATTAGCGTGCGCACGGAAAATTCATATTGATCAAGAGTGAATCTATTTCGGGAAAGATTTAGCGGCGTTCGTTAAAATTGAATCCCCCTTCGCGATCTTCTGCCGCGTATCTATGTAAGCGTAGAAATACCTTGAAAATTTGAGTACGAGGTTGAGACGGTGAGCAAACAGGGCTCCCTATAGCGATAAGATTGCATTTACGCAGTTGCAGTAACGATGACCAAACAAGGAAAGAAACGAAACGCAGTAGCCATGACTCCAAGGAAACTACACGCGTTATTCTTGTTTATTATTATTTCTGATGCTTCACCAGGAATTTTCTGACGTGACGAAACGTATCTCGATCGAATAATATCGTCGAAAACGACCAAGGTTCCCTAAACGCAGCGGCATTAGGATGGATCGAACCTATTCGTTCCTGGTACCGAATCAAACACGGTGAAATTGAAGTTCTAAACACGAGCAACGACAATTCTCTTCCGCGACAGGATAAAGAGAGAACACTTTCTTTTCCACGTTCGACCAACCGCATGTGCTTGATTCGCATGCCATCGAACGGCGATCGATGCCGATCCATCGAAATTCCTTTGGTCAAAGGAACGATAAGGGAACGTTTGAAACGTCAAACACCAAAAATAGGATCGCGAGAGCTCGTTTTCAACCGATCCACTGTGAGGACGACTGTTTCCCAGAACGATAACGCTTGTTTTAAAAAAGAATTCTTCGCATAGAGCGTGAAATGCACGCTTTGACGCGGATTATAATTCATCCTTGTTTAGCTCTGGCATACGATCGATCGACGGCAAAACGAAAAGTAGAAAATACGAAGAAAGTCGGTAGTCACGCTTCCCTTTCGTTCCACGCGAGTTTGCAAAGTTCTTAATTTTCGCGAGATAAAGTCGGTTTAATGAATAACATGCACGCACGCTCGTGACGTCCTAACCTAGACCTAACCCAGATCTGTATTCGGTCGTTTTCGTAGGCGCTCAATAGTTTGCGAGATATTAATAAATTACGAAGCGAGTTCCAGCGTGGCTGCTAAATTGCCTGCTGATGCGGCAGGTTAACGTTACACGGGGTCGAGTTGTAATCCGTGTGGCGCCGGCATTCCGGCTAACCACTCAGGAGAACCTCTAGCGACTATTCTTCGTGCTCTATACCGAGCAAACGAGTATTATGCGCTTAATCGAAATATTCTTTCTCTCTATCAAGATTCAACGAACTATTAGAATCTTCCTGTTATTCACTTTCGAATACTCCATAAGCTATGGGTTACCTATGCTAGGAATAAACGTGGATATTCATAAAAATCGGTAGGTCGAATTTATCCAAGAAGTGCCATTAAAATTGCTTACTTACCGCACGTAGACACGGCAGGTAGAATTATTCACGCGTCGATCGCTGATCAGTCTCCGTTTATCTTCGAAATAATCTTTCAAAGCCGTTACACCGAGCACAAAGATTATGGGTATCATGGCAACCTCCTTGCCGAAGGCATTTATGGCTGGCACCCAATTAAGTAGAACGATAAATACAAAATATATGTTGGCCACACGGCGAAATTGTTCGAGGAAATTGCGAGGTAGGAAGCTCAGCAAGGTGTACTTCGTCGTACGTACTCTGAAAGCATAGCGAATAAACCGGAATTCAGACGACGTATCGCGTCAGATTTTCACTCTCGTCTGGCAATGTACTATTCCGGCAACGTACGAGGCGAGAATCAGGAAGCGAGCATAAACGGTCGTCGTTATCAACGAGAAATTTACCTATTGTTCACTCTCTTGCCATTGGGGTGCTGACTCGGCGGTGTTTTCGGCGGCACTAAGTGATTCGGCACTATTTTCCTTAAACGGGGTTCCTCTGGTAACGGACCGAAGCATCGAGCCCAGAGCCTTCTCCACCAAGGAGGTTCAGCGCTACGTCTTATCGTGTATATCGACTCCGATCTGCGAACGATTCAACAGGAAAACCATTATTTAAAAACAGATAGGTAGCGTGAAATCTTCTAACCGAAGATCCCAAGTGGTCAATAGTCGGAGCGTTGAACCCAATGCTAAGTTGCTCGATGAACGTTCACGACTGAGTTTCTCTAATACGATCACGATCGAAACTGTGATGAATTCTTTTCCCTCGAGTAATAAAAAAGAAGTTATTTTCGAAGACTTCGCTATGCAGCTTCCGCCGACAACACTGAATCACCGGCAGAATTATAGCGACCACACGATTCTTCGTCGAAACATCAACTGTTCCGGCATGCATCGCTAAATAAAGGCGCAAGAACCTCGCTACTGCATTTTCAAAAAAAAAATCCAATTGGTCCAAAGGACTAGAAGGATTCGTCTAGAAAATCACAGAGATCGGTTAGATAACACGAGATATCTCGATTTGCGAACATACCTGGACGCTTGCCGCGAGTGACCTCGAAAGGAGGGCACTTTCCCAGCCATGGGTGGCCTGGAATCCTCCCTGTGACCGGGTGGAAGGATAAAATCCGTTCTGGATCCGACACGACTGTGCCCCGTGACCGAATGTCCCTGAACGTCGATCACCTGACCCTGACTGAACGCTCTCTGATGACCAGGTTTCTTCAAGGCCGAGGGCCTCGACCCACCGATTGCGGACAGAGGGCCCAGATAGGAGCCCGCGTGCGGCTGGAATCCCGTGTTCGTCATTCCACCGAGGCATTCCGCCAACACTCCACCGTGGCTGGCCGATCTGGCATGAGTCCTGGGACACGGTCTTCTTCTGTTTCGCGCCGCGACCTCTTCGTCTTCGTTGTTGCTGCATCCTTTCGCGAGAGCATTCGATAACGGGATGGTCGTGAAAACAGAGCTTGAGGCATCGGGAACAGTGGCAGTCGTTGGTTGTAGCGGTGCTGAGCCGGGATAATGTTGACGACCTGGTCCCGGGAATACGTAAACCGACGCCTGCCTGTCGATCTCCTCGCTCGCTGCTTCTGGCGCCACTTCTTCGGACATGCTGGCACATCTGTCGACAGACCAAATCTACCAGTTACGAAGGATGTTCGTCGCAAGGGTAAACGGTATCTACATGGAAATCGAGGAAAGCAGACGTTCCGGAATACGCGCGACTCGAGGTACCAAAGAGCAATCACCCCTACGGATTGTCCTTCGCGATGAGGAAACGGCGAGAAAAAGATGCATCGAACGTAAGTAACGCAAGAAAGAGGTGTCAGTGGTCCATCTCGTTGCTGACAAGTGATCGAAGTCTGTCGAAAAGTCGGTCGATCGTGATTTATTTGCAAGGGAACACACGCAAAGGAAAGCTATTCTACTGCGTCGCATCAAACGGTATGCAGGAAGTAACGTAATGCATTTCCAGCCGCACTCTCTCGCTATCGTGGGTGCACTTGCACTTAACCGGCACAGATATGCTATTAATAAGATTGCAGAGGGAGAGAGAGAAAGAGAGAGAAAGTTTTTCGTACAAACATCATGAAAACGCTAATCATTTTACTCCGAATAATCCAATAGTTGACAAAATTGGCTTTACAATGTTTTACACCGTGAAACCGTGTAACCTTCGGTACACCTTATCGTAATAACTCATAATCGTTTTGGAAGTGGAACGATCTACGCGTGTTTCCTTCGCTATCGATCGATTTCGGGAAACTCCAGTTGCCTGGAATTACCACGATAATGGTAACGACGACCACGAAAAGCTACAAGTGAACACGAGGCAAAACGATAACGAAAAAGGGACGGTGCTTTATTGGGGCGTGTCGAGAGGTGGTGCGAACGCGAGGTCGATGGTTCGCCAGCAGTTGGTCGATGTTTCGTTTCTAAATTTTACGTGGAAGGTGTCCGCACCCAGACCTGCAACCACACCTGCACCTACACCTATAGGCGTACCCGCACGACTCTTCTACTCGAATATGCGAACGAACGCACCCCCTTGTACACTGAAACACTCTTATCAGTCGTTCATTGCTATGTTTGACAAAACAATAACGCTGTTAATTTTAAAGGCTTCGTGATTTCAAAGTCACGGTCGCTCTTCGAATCTCAAGGAAGTGTCTCGGGATTAATAGCCAAGCTGTTAACCGGGGTACGCTTTCTGTACGAGTGGCCGTTAACGAACTGTCGAGCTAATTAGAGCAAACTAAATTAAACGATGCAATTCGACGTCGCACTTCCGTTAAAACCGCTTTCCCAGAGATAAACAGACCATTATGGGCGAAAAAATGGCCGATCGATACGGATGATATCGGTGTGAATTACGTTTATCTTATTTACCTAGAGCACTATGGCGACTGCAGATGTAAGGAAGTACGATATCGGAAAGTGATTACTTCGTTTATCCTGACATCCTGCGTTGCTTTGCATTGATGATCAATGAAAAGCAACTCCAAAAATAACGTTCAACTTTGAGGGAAAAGATTAAAAGACAAAGTGCAACTAGTCGTCGGATGCACGTGAGGTTAAATAATCGATTTGCTATTTCGATGATGCCGCATGCCTTCGCCATTTTCAAGGCTAACGTCCCGAGGCCGCCGCGAGATTTTAGTGGATTAGAATTGGCTCGAGAACCGGGTAAGGGTCGTTGCAGACGTACGATTTTTCCCGTCGTAATTTCTTAAGATCGGTATATCTTTCTTTGTTCTTAGCCGAAGAGAAAGATATATCGGTGGTGCGAGATCGCAACGGGAAAAATCGCATGTCTGCGTGGGCCCCAAAACCGAGTACCTTCGAGTCCCGAAGCTCGTATCGTAACAAAGAGTTAACCGTGAACCATAAAGCGAACGTGCTTAACGTGTACGTAAAACCAACCAAAGGATTCCGCTGCTGATCAATAACAGCCATCGTGCCGACGTAAATCCCGTGTTCTAATGTACACGGACAATATCAAGGGTAGAAAAGTTGAAGGATGGAATTGGGTCACGCGAATATCCACACCCCCTCTAAACGATAGGATTGCCACGAGTTTCTAGTTCGCACTGGTAACCATTATCATTTGCAATTATTGCGACGCGGTTAACGGTTTTAAATTGTTATTTCTATCGCTTGTTAAGCCGATACCGAGTCTAATTACTTTAAGTTTTCATGTGTTTCATTTAATTTCGGAAGCCTACGCCTGTTCGCTTAATCATTCCTAACAATAACCTTACCATAGTCTAAATAACCGTTTTTTAATTTTTGATTAAAAATTCTGCATTCGGCATCATCGCTCTTGACTTTCAGATTTTTCTTTCAATCTATGTATAACGAATTTGTAACGAATATCTCCTCTTGTTCCATTTTCCTTTTTTAAGTTCTTTCTTCGTCTCTCCATTTACAGGTCTTTCAACCGGTCGTGGTAGGTTTAGTGTTAATCGACGACGAATATACTCGAAGAAAATTAGGGCGCATGCGCAGTGTGCTGTAAAATTGAAAAGAATCGTAAGAAAATAAAAAATATCGTTAGCTATTTTTTTGGAAAATTCTAAAATACGTTGAAATTATGTTTTTTAATTTCACATATATTGGACTTTAAATAGTGAAAACAAATTATTTCATCTCTATAACGTACATACTTGGCATTGTATAAAAAAATGTCACCTTTTCCTGATGAATATACTCGACGTTCCGATGTTACGAAACGTTACGACGAGAAGTTATCGTTTTCACCGTGGTAAACTTCGAATTCGTTAACAGCCATTACCCATTGTTTAATTGTCCGAGCAGCTCATAGTTGACGGAAAATAACGATAGAGAGCATTAGGACAATCGATAAGGAAAAAAAAAGTCTAATAATCATTGTAAATAATGCGCGAAACGATAGCGAACATATACCCGATTCAAGGTACAAACTTAATGATATGCGCGCTATCTGTCGGTCGATTAGTTTCAAACCGCGACTCACCGCCCGCCAAATATACTACGACCAAAGGCGCTAAAATTCAATATCTCTGCGCATAACCTCCAATTTCTGCACTCATCCTACAAGCGAATAACCTCGCCGAACAGTCTCGATTCCGAACTTAAACCATCTCCCTTTCGACTGAAGACCATCGAACGAATTTATTTTGATTCTGTTACGTCGCTCTTCTATTTTGTCGATGCAAAGCCAACGTCAGCAATGTTCTATGCGTTCCTTCACGCGTACCGGTATACTCATTCCGTCCGAGCGGACCGTTCGACGTACTACGACGGAGTTTATGCAATTTAACGAGTAGATGCTTTCGAACGGTCCTCCGGATAACGAACCGGGGATGACCTCGCTCGGAAACTTGCTTCTTTTTTCGCCCCGTTTCTAGGAGACTACTCAACGATACTCGGAGCGAGCGTAACCGGTTTCGTGGCCGGACACCACGACCGTCGGTCGCTCTGGGAAAAAAAACGTAACCGATTCCCGACACTAACCTTCGACCGATTCAACAATGTCCTAGGAATATGTCGGATTTGAAGAAACCTCGCTCCATCTCGTCCACTCGCATGATATATAGATTTGAATTTAAAAATGAATTCAAAAAAGCAAACCGTAAATCGACCGTTAATTGACAATATTGTTTATTAAATTTATTATTTTTATCGTTTTTTCCCCTCTTTTAATAGATTACTTTTTTACAAAAAATGTTTTCCGTTACAAATTCTGATAATCTTTTATCACGAGGGGTTTGAATGTTTTCGCTTTTCCAGACTCTCTCGTTACCGTTTCGCTAGAACGCCTAGTACTTCCGCATTTAGATGAAACTTTCTCGTAATAATTAAGTAAACGTTTAAAACGGCAACGCGATGTATGTACATGTTGGAAACTACGAAACGCGACAATATGATCGATTCGAGGGTTGCTGTACAAATACTATTCTGAGATTCGATGTGACAGAAATTATGTCGAAATGCGTATTCATGACAGTAACTAATCGTTTGCGGCCTATCTTTTTCACCCGAGATTTAATTCGCACACTTTCGCGAAGAATGTTCTAATCCCGATGCAATTACCATAAGCAGGACATATCACTTTATTAATGCTGTCATCGAGTGAAAAGAACATAACGGAATCAAAATATATCATTTACCGAAAACCATTCGCTTCACTTTTCTCTATTTAAAAGTTTGTATACGGGAAACGATTATTGATAATTATTGATAACTTAAATGCAATTATCGATGAAAATGATTTAGTAAGGATAATATAAAAAAATCTCGCGCTTACATTTTTTCAGGCTCCCAACGTGGTCCACGTGGCCTTGGTTAACGCTTGTGAAAGCACAAGGGTAGCACACAATTATCCCCCACGTCTTCGAGCTCTCATCACATCGAGTGCACAACTAAATCAAACCAGGAAAAACAACTGGTATTTGACAAGAAAAATACAGTTACCGTATAACGCGTTTCTTTCAAAACATCTCTATCGAAATACATTTATTACCGCACATCTTGACACGATACAACGTTTACATAAATGCTCGGCAAAACGATTCCCACATCGATTATATTATTCTATTGGCGATCATTTCGAGAAATACACGCGATATCGTGTACACGCTCCCTAAATCTCAACTGATTATCCGCGTTTCGCAGCAACAAACCGAATGACCTTATTGTCGTATACGCACTGACAATTTGTATCGGCCGACCTACCGAGTACAACCGTCGCGAGGAGTTCTCGCACTACTGCCATCTACCGTCGCTCCTCAAATTTTTTAATGTTGAAGATAGAAAATCCCTAGCGCTGCATGTCCGCGATTTTTAAAAGTCATCCTGCATTAGTAAACAAAGTCGATATTTTATAATTATTATTTGCGTTCTTGGAATTTAACAAATACGTAACAAAAGATGAATGCTAGTATTTTTACGTAACCTAACTCACATTTGTTCGTGATTAGCTAATCATTCGATAAATTTATTAACGATTGAAAGTCACTAATCGCAAATGAAGAATGTAAAATATAGTTGTAAAATACTTAACCTTTTAGAATTGATGATTTTTCTCTTTTCATGAGATATCTTTTAATGCATCATAGAATGGGGAATTGCACGAACCTAGGGAGAGTGTACGCTGCAGTAGCTCCACCAGCAGTAACACCACCACTACTACCGTCGTGCTGCTAGCAGCTCCGTCATCGGTAGTGAGCGAAAGAACGAGGTCTTCCGTTCCGGCATAATAGTCGTGCGAGTTAGTAGACGCGCGAACGTATACTAACATTTTTCGACTTTTATAGCATTCCCAAGAAAAACTCACGAGAACTTCGCGTTCATACGTTTAGTGCTGTGATCAATTTCTTTGCATTTCGACCAACATGAATGAAGAATACGACGCGATCGTGTTGGGCACCGGACTCAAGGAATGCATACTTTCGGGTATGCTATCGGTCAGTGGAAAGAAAGTGCTCCATGTAGATCGTAACAAATATTACGGCGGTGAATCTGCTTCGATCACGCCTTTGGAGGATTTGTTTGCGTAAGTTATTTTTATAAATAATCTACTGCGATCCATTTTAATGCCAAACAACTATTGCCGGTATTAGTATGGTATTTAGAGCTGTGATCGTTGACTTGTGCAATACAATGATTCGTCATAAATATTGATTTTTTTCTATTATATTTCACAACGTTAGTGATTGATTATCATTTGGTTAGACTCTTCCGTCAAGCTTGTCTCGACACGACGCGTGACGTATGTCGTCACCTGCAGTGATGCGCCGTTGCTGTGCGACTACTACTTCCAAATTTTCATCCCTTTCTAAATAATTTTATCGGAAGGTTGGCTAGAATGCCACTCAACCAGAGTAGGGGGTAGGGGTCCGCCCCGTGAAATACACGTTCGATCGAACGTGATAAATCTGTTGTGGCATTTTGCAGAGTTAGCGCTACATGCTGTTTCTCTTCGAGATACTTTTTCTTTACCACTCGTTCGACCATCCCAACCTCCTCTTTCCTCCTCTCGCCTCCCGTCACATATTTCTGTTTATCATTAGAAAAAGTTATCTACATCCATCTAATTATTTGAAGTATAAAGACTGCACAGTAAGATACAAAATTAGTCTGCCTTATGTTTGAAAACGTAGCAGCGGGAAATGTTAAGTAACCAAACAAGTACCGTTAACTTAATCCACTTCCTATGAAATTGAACATATGTTTGCTTCCTTATGTGAACTCAGAAGTTTAAATAAAAATTGTTCTCACTTGCATAGTAATATTCTTTTTAATTCTTCGTGTGAAAGAAATAGCTTTTTTTTTTTTGTAAATTCACGTTTTCCAAAATAATAAAAACTCGTTGCTAATGAGATAATGAAATAATATGGCTTTTCTATTACTCATATAACAAAAAACGATAACATATCCGCGTGATTTCTTCTGGTTCTTCTGGTTCATCAGGGAGACGGTTATCATATGTCCGGTTGCACTCAATAAAATGTAACACGCATCTAAACTACCTATCTGTTGTAACAGTAACTGTTGTTCGTCTGCACTTGCGCATAACCAACCTAAAGAACGCTTGAAAACAATGTGAAAGTAAACGGAACAAAGTTGCTTTCCAAAAGAGATACTTATGATACTAACTCGAAATCGTGCAACTTTGTTTAATATTTTTAACATATGTTCATGCGTAATTTACAGTTATTTTGTAACAAATTACTTCTTCCTTTGTTTGATACCTAGAAATATGCGCCATTTTAACATATTGTTGATGCGCACGATATATTTCGTCGATTATAATATGAAGTACCAAAAGAAAAAAAAAGCCGAAAACAAATATTGTTAATTTTTAAATACATAGTTACTATTGGTTATTAATAGCATATTTACTAGAGGTTGTTTACATTCATAATATCACTGGTACCGAGACTTACGTGTATATGAGAATTCAAATTGTATATCTGGAAAGAAAACATCGCATTTATTTTGATCACTAATATTAGTTTTATGCGTTATCTAGGAAATTCAAGGTCCCACCACCTGGTGAATCCTATGGTCGTGGCCGCGACTGGAACGTTGATTTAATTCCAAAATTCCTGATGGCAAACGGCTTGCTGGTAAAACTTCTGATTCACACAGGCGTGACGCGGTATTTGGAATTTAAATGCGTCGAGGGATCTTATGTCTATAAATCCGGCAAAATTTCAAAGGTGCCGATAGATCAGAAAGACGGATTGTCCGGCGATTTAATGGGCATTTTAAATATGCAAGAAGACAATCCTAAGACTTGGGACGGCTTCGATCCATTTAATAATAGTATGAGTGCTTTGTACAATAAGTTTAATCTCGATAAAAACACTCAAGATTTCACAGGACATGCACTAGCTCTTTATAGGTAAAAGAAATATAAATATTACTTTGGAAATACTGTATCAACGCTTTGATAATTAACACACCGCAATATCCCGTTCATTTATTCCAGAGATGACGAATACATAAGCCAAAGAGCGATCACTACTATAAGAAGAATTAAATTGTATAGTGATAGTTTAGCACGTTACGGAAAATCACCATATCTATATCCCATGTACGGTTTAGGTGAACTTCCTCAAGGTTTTGCACGACTTAGCGCTATTTATGGTGGAACGTACATGTTAGACAAACCGATAGACGCAATCGTAATGAAAGATGGAGCGGTAAAATTTAGAGCATTCTCTGAACTTATAATATTCTCTACGATTAATTTCATAACTAATTACTGATTTGTATTACAGATTTCTTGTGTGTGTTCTGGTGACGAAGTAGCAAAGTGTAAACAATTATTTTGTGATCCTACATATGTACCTGAGCATGTGAAAAAAGTGGGTCAAGTCATAAGGTGCATTTGTCTTTTAGACCATCCTATACCGAATACAGGAGATGCTCTTTCAACACAAATTATTATTCCACAAAAACAAGTAAACAGATTTGTATTTCGATCCTATATCAACGTTTCATGATATTGATACAACATTCATCTGGTTTTATTTCCCAGGTTAATCGTAATTCCGATATCTACGTATCTTTAGTATCGCATACTCATCAAGTAGCGGCAAAAGGATGGTTTATAGCCATGGTATCTACTACAGTTGAAACAAAGAATCCAGAAGCTGAAATTAAACCAGGCTTGGATCTTCTTGGACCGATTAAACAGAAGTTCGTATCAGTATCTGATTATATGGAACCGACAGACAATGGGATGGAGAGTCAGATTTTTATATCAACAAGTTATGATGCTACAACGCATTTTGAAACTACTTGTTTAGATGTTCTCGATATATTTAAACGAGCTACTGGTGAAGAATTCGATTTTAACAAAGTAAAGCAAGACCTAGGTGATGAAGATCAGTAACCATAAGATAATTACAATTACTGGTCAGTTTTAAAGCTAGTTCATGCTGAATTGAAAAAAATAAAAACGAGCGAGCAACATAATTTAACGTGTGTATGCCGATAACGTCGGTGTTTATTGAACTCTCGGAGCAGATGCAATCTGTCAATAGACATGCCTAATCCTAGATTCTCTTTAATGGAGGACGTTAACGACAAACATTATTCAAAATTTATTTTTCAAATTTATTCCAATCTAATTCTACAAACTGCCCTTTTTACATTATGTCTAAAGTACATATGTACAACCATTTTCACAAAAAATTGATATTAGGACTTGTAATATTTGTCGCCTGGTCATTCGTCGATAAATTTTGAACAAATTATAAATTGCAATTTATTATACGGTTTAAGTGTATTAATGTATTCGTCACTGACATAGAATTTGAACTATACATGACAGTGCCGATTATCATGACTTTATAAATGTATCATATTTTACGTATCAAATTAAAACATAAGGATAACTGTTTATTGAGATTGTAAATGTTAAAAAATCCTATAGTTATATTGCTAATTGCAGTAGTCAAAAGATCATATGTTACAACAGGAGGTACAAGATAGAATTAATTTAAAAAAATAAATTCGACACGCAAGTATATAAATAGCATGCCGCGATATAGCATTAGAAAATATGTCATAATTCTGCACATTTAGTTACAATATCTTCAATTGAAATTCCAAACACTTACGTTAATGAAAAGAAAAAACAAAGTACATACATGTAAAATGAAGTAGTTACAAAAAGTAATTGCCTATACCAGAGAAGATTGCAGAAGATTTATGTCGAATATTTAAAAGAAAAAAGAGCGGCCAACCATTTAAATATAAGTTAAATGGATATATATTATATACTTTCTCATTCTCAAATATGTGGAAGTGAGAATATAGAAAAGATGGGATCGTTGAAATGTTGTTATTTTATGTGAATTTGAAGGCTGGAATATTTCTTTGTCCAGTATTTATAAGGTGATCATTATTGATAGAGAAACACATTAATAAATCTAAAGAAGTCAAGTATGTACAGACGTATATTGTTTTTGGAATTATTATACGTGAGCACTTGCGTATGCGTGAATGTTTTGTTAATGAGTGATTGGCTACTTCCCAGAATATTTTGTTTTGCTTGCATTTTCGCTTCAAATTGTAAGCGCACCGTGAATTCATATTACGTATGAAATTTACTGAATGAAGATACGTGATTCCCTATTACTTTATCTAAAATGTTATTCACGTAACTGTAATGTGACAGTCATAAAAAAAAAAATAAATCATACTATATTAATCTCATTACTTTGTATTTCTATCTATTACATGATATAAAAAATACTTGATACATTTACTTACCAATAATAATTTAAACAAGTTCTAAGACATAGATGTTATTATCCCTGCATCCAATGACCACAACATCATTATCAACAACAGGTGATGAAAAAACCTCTCCAGGAAGTTTTTCAATTTTGATCAATCTATTGTTTACAAAGTTATATATATTTAAAGTACCATCTGTACACATTACGAACAGAAAATTATTTTCACACCAGGGAGTGGCCAAAATCGGCGAATGAAAATTTAATACATATTTCAACGTAGGTTTAGTCTTAAAGTTTGTATCATCTGATTCTAAACAGTACACATTTTTATTCTGACTAGCTAAAATAATATTTTCATATTTTGTAAAGGTATTATCCTGCTTCACAAGATATGAAAATACATTACCATTAATTTTGTATGTCCACATCTGTAAAATTAAAAAATAAACCAAAATGAAAATGATTATGTTTACCAAACTAGGAGTATATTCAATTTTTATATGCTCATTACCTTAACATTAACTTCAATATCAAAACAACATAATAGTCCTGTTACGGAACAAAACAAGACAAGTCCACTATTCAGTAACAAAGGAGCAACGAAGATTGGATCTGATAATTTATGTTTCCATACGAGTTTTCCTGATGATTGTTGAAGTGCTAAACACGATCCATCTAATGTTCCAAACAATACAGTATTCGATGAAAAGTGTAAACAACCAGACGCGCTAATACTTCCATTGCCGCATTTAAATTTCCAAACTTCAGAGCCGTCCTATAGTAAATGTCTTTATATTTATTACTATTATCTTATGTAATCTATTACTATAGAAATGAACATATATACCTTCACAGATAAGCAATATACATAACAATCATAGGAACCAACAAATATTGTCTTTTTTAATTTACAAAGTATTGCAGAACATTTAACAATATTTCCTGTTTGATAATTCCAAATGATTTGTCCCGTTTTTAAGTGAAAGCAATATACATTACCATCATAACATCCTGTGAAAAGAAAAGTTCAGAAAATTTGAATAAATTTTTTATACAGTAAAGTAAAGGCTTACCCACTACTCCTCTAAAGTTATCTAGAATCAAAACTGAAGCCTCAATTCTGTCAGGTAGTTTGATTTTATATGTAGAATTATAGCACTCCTTTTCTAATCCAAAAGTAAAAATAAATCCAGAATGAGAACCAACAGTTGTATATATTTTCCCACTAAATAAAGTATTTATTAATCAAACCACGGAATGCATTACAAATAGTTCATTAAAGACGTACTTACTCGGAATAACAAAATATAGTTGGTGATGCATCTACACACTTTTCTAAATCATGTGTGTTAAGTACTTTAACATTTGAAATTGTATCATATTGTATTTTATACTCTTCACTTACATATGATACATTTTTATATGTCTGCCCTCTACACTTGTACCACTGACACGTATAAATCTCATTTGTTTGAGTCACTGAGTTCAAACTTTCCTTTTCATTATAGTTTCCCGAAGGCTGTTTTCTTTCTATATTAATAATAGTGGTAATTACAGGCATCCCTTTGAGACTGATTATTTTTTTTTGATCCTGACTTAATATAGTATTTTTTATATAAATAAAACATTCATTAACAGTAGCATCCATCAAAAGCATGCCAATTAAGTCAGGAAATTCGATATCTGTTATTTCAGATATTGTATTTGATATTTGAAGTGCTAATATGGATGTACCTCCTAATTTTACAAATCCGTCATTTTTATGTTGTAGATTGCTCTCCCAAATAGATGTAAAAGTAACTTCAATTTCTTTTAAATCAATGTTATCTAATGCTTTATACCTTAATTCTTCTTGTGTGTAGTGCTTTTTCGAAAATTCTAAAGAAATTTTTCCACTAGTTGTAAATTCAACATGTTCCATGAAATGAATTTTATCTGGTCTATATAAAGGATCTAATTTACTCAAATGCCTCATCATATTGGTATTTACATCATGATAATTTGTAATATTTTCTTTAGTAGAAAAATATAAATGTAATTGATGACTACTATCATCCCATACTACATAACTACTTTTTACAAAATCTATTTGTAACACAAATTCTTGAATTTTTGTCAGATCTACTTTATTTCCAAATTTTTTTACAAGACTATTCTTTCTTCCTTTGTAAAATATCCTACCATTTTCATCAATCTGAAATAAAAATATATTTATTGTTATTGTTGTTGTTATATATATTATTCGTATTATTATTTAGATTTCTATTAACTTACATTAACTATATCACCAGAGTCACGAAATAATGGTAATTCTAAATCTTCTATATTTTCATCATTCACCACGCACACCCTTTGATTACTACCTGTCCAAAAATATATGATACATAACAATCATTTCATAAAATTATTACATAAAAATGAAATCAGTATTGCGAACTTACCTATATAAAGAGAACCTGTACCATTTGTTATTAATTCTCCATTTTCATTCTTAACTTGAAACATAGTATGTGATAATAATTGTCCCAAGTAATGTACATTAAATTGTCCATTTGTTATTATAATTTCATTAATACTAGCCCAACAAGATACTTCAGTAATACCATAAATGTTATAAATTTTTGTACTATTATAAGGATGCTTAGTTTCAGAAATTAATTCCAGTTTGGGAAAAGGTTCACCGCCAAAAAGAATAGCTCTTAATGAACTATTATTACTCAAAATACTGGTCTTTAAACATTCAGCTGTCCAACTATACATAAAAACTGATGGAGTTATTTGCAATATAGTAATTTGATTAGAATAAGCTTTTTTCAAAAGCCTAAAAATAAAAATTGCTTATGTAAATATAAATTTTTATCTGTAAATTGTATTTCTCTTCATAATTATAATCTACCTATTTGGATTGTTCTTCAATGACTTTGAAACCATAAAAAGTGTTCCAGCATTTGAGAGTGCAAGAAAAATTTCAATAACACTAGGATCAAATGTAAAATTTGTAAATTGAGAAATTTTATCACACTTTGTTATTGTCAGTATTTTGTTCAAATCTAAAATATTAGGAACTATACAGGAATGAGTAACTTTGATCACTTTTGGTACTCCAGTTGAACCAGAAGTAGAAATTGCATAAGCATAATAATCCTGTTTCGAATTTTGTACAATTTGTTTTTGTATATGTTTCAATTTGATAAGATAAATGCATTCTCCATGTATTTTAAATTGATATATAATGTCTCCTTCAACAATTATTTGTTTACAAAATAAATACTGCATATTTAAATAACATTTTAAATTCATAAATTCTATTGTATCTACAGGTATATTTACAAAGCTGTGTTTGCTACTTAAAATTCTGTAACACAAAAAGAATCACAAATAGTAAAAATTTATATTATTATGTTTATTATATCAATATTTTAAATATTCTGTATGATCTAATGCCTTACCCAAGCATTATAAAAATTACACAATATTCAGGAACATCAAAATATATACCAATAAATTCAACATTTTTTATGCATTTTAAATAATCAGAAATTATATTTTTTGTGACAAGAATTTCTCTGTAATGTATATAAATAGTTTCTTGTAAATCATGATACTCTATAGCCACATTATCAAGTTGATCCCAATTGCAAATGTCATGTAATTTCTTAAGAAGATTTTTAGAATTATGAGGATGAAATGTCAAATTTTCAGTTTTGTTATCTAAAATAGTTACCCTGTCTTTAAAAAGTATTAATTAAATATAAAATATTAAATGTTCAAAGTATCATGATTCTACACTTACCCATTGTATATTAAATGTTATTTGATATTAATTCTTTAATATATAAAATTAACGCTTTTCTGTGTTACTTAAAGCAATTGGAAAAAATAAGAATTGTTTTAATATTTATTAGTTCCAAAGGCATTCGAATGGTTCACTTCAATCGTAGGTTATGTTACATACTTTTAGCATTGTAACTCTTACTATATTATGTTTTCATCGTACAATATATCACAGAACTTTATGTTCTTTCAACTTTTCCATTTAATGACTAAGATTAATAACATAAATTGTAATAATCGTTGTCTTATTAAATTGGAAGCATACATTTTGTGCAGACGAACTTGGATAGGAAACGAAACGCATATACATACATGTGCGCGTGTGCACGTTTTTACGTGCATATTTTTTATTTCGTTTTTACAGTTTAAGTTACATCTATTGACTACATAATATATAAAGTTGCAGCTTTTAACAATGTAATCTAATGAATTCTTTTCCAACAGATTTATAAATAATATTTCACTTCACATTTATCATGTTTTATTATATAAGGATTATTTAAATAAAATGGTCAAACATAGAAATCAAATTTATATTCTATATAAATGAAACGCAATAATTGTGTTGCACAATTATTGTTATGCAATGTATTCCTATATAGAGATAATAATAATTACAATGATACAAATGTGTTAGTATAATTTCCATAATGCACACTAAATAGTATTATTTATTGTTATAAAAGAAATTTGAAATAAATAAAACCCAAATATATTAATGTGACTTATTTTTAAAGAAATAACCATTTAAATAACGCAGTCACTATTTGGTACATAGAATGGTCAGTGCTATGACAATTTTTATGAATTCTTTAAAACAATGCAGATAGTGTATTAACTGTTAAATTTTTGAATACTGAAACACTTTAATCTACTTTTCTTCACACCATTCATTTTCTTTGCGAACTTGATCTTCTTCTGATGCAGAGAAATCATTTTTTATATTGAATGTTTTGCGAATTTCTTCTGGAGTTTTGCCTTTTATCATGTTAGCAACAGTTTTGCATGTTACATCTAATAATCCCTTGATATCAAGATAATTAGCTGCCAAAATTAATTCGAACAATGTTCCTTGATCAACCTGTAAGAAGATTTTTGGATCATATTTTTCTAAAAATATGACAAACATAATAAATTATGAATAAACTGATAATACTAAAAAGAAATTATTCTTTAATGGCTCCAAAATAATATTAATTTTATAAGAGAAAGAACAATATTAATAAAAGTTAAATATTTACCTTTAGAAAATCTGCATCCCAAGAACTTATATCATCGGTACGTTTCTCCTTATTTTCATCATCTTCAGGTAGTGGTGGATCATCTTTGTGATAAGTAGCCCATTGTAATACCTTCCTTAAAATAGCAGAATTAACATTTGGAAGAGGAACAACTTCTTCCTCGTCTTCATCCATCCCAAGATCTTCCAACATGGTTTTTATAGTCACAGAACATTTTGCAATAGCGACATCCACTTCGAAAACTTCGCCATCTGAGCTCTGTAGTTTGATGTTAGGCATCTAGAATAAATTTTCAACCATTTTTTACAATGCGCTTAGCAACCAACATGTCTAGAAATAAATACTTTTCGAGCAACGATGAAGTGCTTCTTTATTTTGATACTAGCATCGTTATTTTCTTCATCTATAATATGTTCAAATTTATTCGTTAATTTGCAAAATAACTTCGAGATATTTCTTTTTCACGTAGGTTACAATATAATTTACTTAAGATCTCTTCTCAGAGACAAACAGGCACTTCATCGATGCAACAAAAAATCTTTCGCAAACGTTTTCTTCTAATAAGTAATGTATACAAAATATAAATGTATTGAAAAATCAAGCGCACTATTATACTTAAACGTCTACTACTTGAATTCAACAAAATGTCAGACTAATCACCGTGAAATACTTATTGTAGACAATGCAGAGAATTATCGAATAATTTGTTACACCGTTGATCAGCAGAAAGCACTTGTTCTTTTGTTCTCTGTTGCTCCCCCTTTAAATTTGATTCTCTCACTCTCTTAAAATATTCGTTTTCTATCCTTTTCGATGTGTCGAGGCCCTATTTATGTCCTTATACTTCTATTTTTTTTTTCTCTTCGTAGTTTCTGGTTGGAGGGAACGTGAATTTTGTGTAATGTACTAAAACTGGCGCGAGATGGCACCACAATGCTACGCAATAATCGAGTAAGGAAATTTGATTCGTCGTAAAACTACATTTTTCATTATTTTCAAAATAATGACAGTAAAATGTGACTTTTTTATATCGAATATTTAAGAAAATCAGTTGATGTAGTTTTAATAATATAAATACCAGTAATAAAATATTTTTATTTATATTTATTGAAGTAAGAAGAATATCATTTTAAAGACAATATAGAAATATGACTAATCGTTCATTTATTGCATAGCTTCGTTTGCGTAAAAGTCGCATGTAACGGAAAAGCTTCATATTCTACAGAGGTGTTTAATTTTTATTTGTCGAGCATGGCGCCTAGAAGTATATCACTGGACACCAAAATTGAAAAATTACGAGGTGTAGGATGAATCGGCAGGAAAAATTACACGGTAATTTTCTACCATAATGATCCATTTGATTTTCGGTGTAAGAGTAACAAAAACAAAGACGAACCTGAACCCCATCGTTTCAAGCTATAAAATTATGTTCTACAATTGCTCGAATAATTCGTCTTGGAATTCTATGAAAATCGGAATGAATAAACGAGTAATAAATCTATACGAGAGAGACCTTCGTTTAGGCGCCAACGACCTACGCATTCTTTCCTTACTCTTTTCCGCCATGATCTTTCTATTTCACCCTCTTCTCCCCCACTTCTCTCGCCCTTCCTTTTTTCTTCTCAGCTATTTTCTGCTCCGTGAAAACGAATGATGAAAAAGATTTAATTTTTGCTTTATTTTTAACTCTATCCTTTCTTTTCTTTCTAGGTTCTTTCTTACCTTCTCTGTTTCCTGTCATATCTATTGGACATAAAGTTGTGAATGAAAAAATGGTCGCAGGAAAGGCACAATTACTACAAGCAAAATACTAGCTACGGCAGGATGATTCGATTATCGTATCAAAAAGTTCATTTGATTTCCCCACTGATCGATCCATGGAACGGGAAGGTGCGTTCGCGAGGGTAGTTTTACTATCGATGCGTCGAAGGTGCATTAATGCGAGTTGGTTTGCTCGAAGCAGGCCAAACGGATGAGTCGTAACGTTTCAATCAATCATCGAATAGTATGAAATGGAAAAGTTATCGAAAGCCACCATACTTCTTTGATTAGTACGACGTTCTCTGGAAACGTTGTACATTCGATCATGTCCGATGTACCTTGTTAACTTATAAGCCATGATTGGATAAGGAGATCCGGTAAGACGATGGGAAAAGTGTTCAGAATAGTCAGTCGAGTCGTAGGAAGGAACGGTAAAGAGTTTATGAGTGGAAGACATCAAGGTGTTTCGAAGTTAGATGAAATTTCGAACCACGATTTATTTCTATATAAAATTGTAGGCGAATCGTTTATTTTACGTTTATGGAATATTTAATCCTATCCCGTGGAAAGATCATTTATACGGTTATAGCGAAGTCTTAAATCTGTGCAGTATAATTTAACTTGCATTTATATAGGTATTCCCTTAACTCAGTCGAAGAAATCACGTTCCTCAAAGTACGATGAGTATTGAAAAAATGTCAGAGTACTTTGTGGTAATCGAAGAAGCCAAGAACTTTTTAAAATGAATTTTTAAAATGAGTTTCACTCCACGAGTTTGACAGAAAAGGTAAGCAGGTCTAGGAGAAACGAAGATTATCAATCTTACGCAACTATTAAGAGCAATCGTAACCACGATAAATATTAACGAGATTACTTCTGTTAAATAGCTAGGGGTGGCCTTTACCTCCTGCGAGAACGGATCGTTTATAAAAGCTGCGATTTCACTTCGTTTCCCAAGCGTGAAGCCTTATTAAAATTTGCTTTAAGCTGAAATCAACTTTACTCAAAGCAGCTCTCCAAGTCTTAGACCTTTAGTTCTAATTTCATCCGTGGTCAATGAACACTATAAGTGCGCAAAAAACAAAATACAATACGTTTGGCTAGCGTCCGAGTGAATGAAAAGTTTCAAAATGAAGGGTAGTGACACTATACGAGAGAGAAGACTCTTCCTTCATGGCACTCATCGATATATCTAGTCTATGCTACGTAATGGTTGCGGTGATAAATGCCGAATTACGCAGATCCTTCGCCCCGAAGGCGCCACTACGTCTGTCCTCTACACCTCTTCAAACTTCTCCTTCCTCTTTCCTTCTTGCGGTTAACACGTTTTTGAATCTCCTTTATTCCTCGTCTCGACGCACTTCCATCGAATAGATGTTGTAATAACGGATTAATTGCTGTTTTCAATGATTATTACAGGTCTCGCGCTTCTTCCGGATACGCCGTGGTAAACTAGGAGTAAGAACAATCGTTATGAATTCATTCAACTGCGATGATTCCAAGGAAGAATTAAACGGAATGACGATTACGTAGTCGTAAGAAAGGATGTTGGATTTTGACCAAGAAAATTTCTTTAATAGCTGATCCAATCGATTAGAAAACTGTAGCGAATGTAATGTTACTATTGAAGACGCAGCATCTGTCGAAGAGAAGAAATTTAGATGAAAATACAATGAAAACCTATTCAGGAAAGAGTATTGTGAAGGAATTTCGGTTTTTCTCTTACACCGTGAATTTTCCTTAACCGCTTACCATGCGTAAAAGTAAAAAAGAAAGGAAGAAGAAGAAGGAAAGCGAACGACTGCTTTTTCAGATTAAACAGATACCTGCCTGCCAAGTCTTGCCTGTCGTTTTTAATGAGACCTACGCGGGCGTTGTGGGTTAATTATTCTTCAAAAAAACTCGCTCCTGTAATTCTTACGTTCGTTAACCATCGTCGCCTGGAATTTTTCAAAAGCATCTTTCGGAATTGATATTAAGTTCCACCGTTTCATTATAAACGGCTCGTCAATATTTACTCGCAACATTTCGGTCGATCGATTTCTAGTAACGTCGTTCGTATTGTTCCTTTTAATACCGATTACCAAAATTAGGAATACGTAGGAACAGCACGAGAAAAGAAGAAAGGAACTCCCTCTCATTGAAATAAATCTGCGAAGATTTTAATATACCGAGATACAATAGTGGTGTACGTTTGACCACTTGAAAAAGCGAAATCTATTCGAATATGCAACTACAAATATCAATTGCAATCTTACCGAAAGGTTGCGAGAGCAATTCATCCGATATTTTCCTCTGCTTCGAAGCTTATACATTGGCTTCTATATCGAAATAAGACAATTTCGTTGCACACAATTATTATAATCAAAGTTCGAAATTTCGATCCTTTAAAGACAACGATTAATCTCGACAACGTGCTTTCATAGATGCAATTTTCGTGCTTAATCACAATTCATGAAACTCATAACAGAAGTCGTGACCGAGTCACGCACCATTTCTTCGAATTAATTTGGAGCATAGTGAAGAAGAAACGCAATTACACGAATCGAAAGTTATCGTATCACATCGTATCTGCAAACGAACCCTCCCCTTGCTCGGACTCCATTCACAGACGTTCATTCATGAATCTACGTAAGAAATTTCTCTGGCCGAAAAACAGTTTTGTCGTGGGATCGGTGGTTGCCAGTTTCGTTGAGAGGTTTCTCGTGATATCATCGCTCGGGGTGGAGACTAAATCCAATGACGTAATGAAGCAGAGGGTGTACAATACATACGAGGCGGCCATAACAACGTGGAGGAGGAACATATCGGTGATGCTGGTACCAATAGTGGTGGATACAGCTTTGGTTCTCTTGGTGGTACGGAAGAAGAACGTAGAAGAGGGGTGAGTGTTGCAGTATAAATGTGGCACGCGCAAGCTCCACCAATCACTCGCCCTCTGACCTCCAAACTCCAAGCTCTCGTGGTACCAAACACCCCCTCCGTGTTTGTACGACCAAGAAACAAGTCGGCACTTCGGCACTGAAACTCGTGCCTCGTGATCACCGCGTGGTGCCACTCGAGTATCATCTTCGAGGACTCGTTACCATCGAGACACATCCTTGACTTCGACACCTGGAAAACGCGAAATCATTCTCTGTACACGGCAGTACGATTCGTTTACTTACACGACCCACGATACCTCTTTCTCCTCATAGACATGACAACGGTAAGTGCAATAAATTTTAAGTAATACTTTCCCTCCTCGCTCGCTCGTGTTTCTCTTTTCTCGCGTACCATGTTAGCGAATAATACGAATATCGTTGTATTTCCGGCGCGATCCATATTATCGTTGAAACCACGATTAAGGAATTTGACGTGCAAGTTTGACGCCCCGAAGTCTTGTTTTCTTGATAAACGCGAATAAACTTAAAGCTACGTATCGCAAGTTCGACACACCTAGTTTAAAGTCACCTTTGAGGATAGGGGAGAAAAGAAACAGAGGTGTGACGTGTATCGGGTGAAAGCGTTGAACTCAAACAGTTCGTCGATCTTCCCTGTCTCGTTGCACGAAATTTTCATCGTCAGTGCTTATCATCTACGATGATGTAACTAAGTACAAACGTAAACGCATTCGTCGTGTATAACTTTTGAAAGACTCACAAACGTCGTCGTAGGAGTCGAGCTCCTTGATTTCATTTTTCTTGCTTTCATGTTACTCCTTACTGACAAATTTTTCTGCACGCGCATCCGTTCTGCGAAATTTCAACTATAACATCTACCTTGTGACAAAAATGAAATCCTTCCTATCAGTTATTTGCGTAATGCAGCTTTGCAACGATTCTTCCGAATTCTTTTTCTTTTCCATCAATTTTTTAGCAATCTAAGATCGCAGCTTCCGTCAATTTAAGCAAACGATATAGAAACAACGAATAGAAACACGATTTTATGATTGCATACAAAACAGTGAACATAGATCTTGGGAAAAATGCAATTTACGAAGCTACAGTTTTACATACGCACGATACAACAGGATTTATCGATATTCGAGAGAATTTATTTTGCATTATTATCGGGACGTATATCTTGCTTAGCTTGCTTATTTTCTATACGAGAAAGACGAGACAGAAAGTCAGAGAACATTTCTATGAAACAGAGTATAAAAAGAAAATCCAGTCGTTTCGGAAATGTTGCGTTTAGCCCGACGCGTCGCCGGCGAACACATAAAGCTTCCTGTTTGCATTGAAGAAATATTTACGATTTATCCATAGTACTACGGCGCCACAGAATTTCACATACTCGTTATTAATCATTGGAGATTCGACTATTATCATCGAAAATCCTTTCCCTTTCCTAACGAACCGTCACAGCTATGAATAATTCATTTCTCGGTCCGCAACTACATCATTCACTGAACAACACTACGAATTCCTAGTTACACTACGTAGTCGTATCCTGACGTAAAAGAGTGATAGATCGACGTGCCGAAATGAGGATTTCATGTTGAAACAATAGCGATTTACGATTTTAACTGTAGAAACGTCAGACCAATGAAAGTGACGAGCTTCAGAACTTTTGTTTTCACATTTACACATTCGGATAGGAAAATAATCATACGTACCTGGTCATTTTAATCCTGCCATTTTAATTATTATTATCTTTGTAGTTTCAGCGTTAACTAGAGGAGCTTTCATATTCTTCTCCTTTGTTTCCTTGAACATCGAACTAATCCGGACATCGAATTACATAGCGAAAAAATGTGTACATAGAGATCAAAGATGACGAAACAAAATGTTATTCTCATAGGCTAGAATAAAATGCATTTGGCGATAAGAGAGGTACAAATAGTACCTTTAGGTACCTAACCGAGCTGATAAATTGCTATATTAAATGAACGACTATAATACTAAAAGAGTTAATAGAATAAGGGTATATAGCATGAAACGAAAGGGGAGAATGCCACAATTGAAAAGCCGAAAAGGGGGAAAAGGAGCAAAGAGCTTTTTCTATGCCACGAGACAGAGAGACGCCAAGACGCCCCACTTCCAAGGCAAAAGTTAGATCGTGCCTTTCTAGCTTTTCCCCTAACTATTTTCCCTTGCACTTTATTCTCTCCCTCGATAATTATTTGCGCTTATCATATCTCTGTTTAATTTCACCGCGAAAACAGTCGATCTTATGGACTAGCAATTGGAAATCAAGTGTACATAACTGCTACAGTTTCTGGAACTTGTCCCCTGTAGGGTTAGGATTTACCTGCAAATCTGCAAACAGCTCGGTAACGTAACGTTGCTCTGTTTGCAGAAAAATTCTCACGGTCTTTACATTGGAATCCCGATAGAGTTACTCGGTTTGCGCGCAAATAAATATGTTCGTTTCGCTAACAACAAATAAACTAAATAAACAAACTATCTAAAAGCGGCACAAATCAGACTTTTAAACGCGAAGGAATTCGACGAAGCGATTGTCGAGTCCATCGGTGTAATGAATTTGCAATGGATTTAGAACAGGTTTTAATAACCCGTCTTATTTTAATCAGGTACGAGCAATAAACGCGATAGTTGATTCAATCTCTTTCGTAGAAAAAATGAACAATTCATCGATATTGGTGTACTTTCGGGAGATGAGCTGAGGAACGTAGGTGTTAAACTACCGTAGGAAAGCACGTTGACATTTGCAAGTTGTAAATTACGCGTCATTCATTAATGGTCGCATAAATGTAACTAGATATGCACAAGCTTTGAGAAATTTAATGAACGGCGAGGAAATTGTGGAGAAAAAAAGGAAGAAAAACGTGAACCGTATAATATGATTGGAGATCAAAGGAAATACGTCATCGTTCGTTCTTTAGGAAAAAATTTCGTGTAACCAGTCACATTATTTGTTACTTTTATTCAACAAATCTGATAATAATAAATTATATGAAACAGATGTTACGTTCCAATCGAATAAAGATGAATCTTTTCTACGCGAAACTTTACATTCGATACTCGGATAATACATTTTCGTTCCGAGACTGATAAGCAAGATCTTTTTGCCCAAAGCAAAACGTTCCCCAACATGATCCAAAATTAACGAGTGACCTGGGACAGAGGAATTCTCTAAGTAAGATTCGCCCTATCTTCCAAACACCAATTTCCAATGAATCGCGCGAAAGTCGCGCGTTATGTTAATAATGTTCGATTAACGGCTATTACGTAACTTCCCTTGGACAAACAGCGAATGGTTCCTCGAAAAAGTGGTAATTGATACTATCGCGTTAATAGGGGAAAAGGGCGAACAACATTGTCGTGGAACTCACACGAAAACCTCTCTTTTCGATAATTAATTCCGTCTTGCGAATCGTCAACCTTATCGGCGTTTACATTTCGTTCAATGACTCGAAATTAAATCGAATTAATCCAGTTGTGGAAAATACGTAATGTGACAGAAAGATGTAATTCTAATTCATTTTTGCATCCGAATGAAACTTATGTGACAATCATCTGCGCGAAGTAATAAGATCGTACGTTGTAGTAGCGCTTCTGACACATCGTATTTCTTAACGAAGAAATATAGACGAGAATGCCAGTGCTAACAACGCGATACAGCATCCGTATAAAAAGGTGAAAATACCGTGATATATCTGACTTTATAGAACACACACTCATTTCCAAAGGCTGCGACAGTCTTTCTCAATTATAAACCATCCGGCTTCACTTGACGTTTCGTGTTAAGGCAAAAACACTTTCGCTCCACGTTTGCAAAGTTCATTTCAACTGTGTATTATATGAAAAATATAACGCGATATTTATCCGACGAACGGACATTGTCGTAAACGAGTATATTTTTGATTTAATCAATTTTCGAGATCGTATCGTTTCAAATGAGGTTTTTCCTAGATAAGAAAGGTGTTAATCGGTGATTTTTAAAGAAGAAAGAGAGACAACGGAATTTACCTTTTCCCTATAAATTTCGGAACAGAGAGAATATGCTAACGTCGTGAGTATGAAAATGCTTTTTCGAAAGTATTGTCAGCTGTCGATCAATTTGCATAATTTCTGTAATTGCGATATAACCATCAATTAGCTAAAATTAACCATGTGCAACATTATCACGCGGTTCCGTCACCACCTACTAGCTATATCCCATTCGGTGGTTCCTTTGATAAATACCAAATTAATACACGAATGCCGACAAACAATATCTGCAAAGTACGTCAGTTCTCTGAACGATGACACGAATAAAAATTTCAGTTGCACATGTGCAGTTCCGAAAAATATACTCGTCTTCGATAATCGATTTTCACAATTGATCCTATCGTTGCAATATATTGCGAATGAAGAACAAAAGTGAGAAAATGAATAATAAAAAGTAGAATAATCCGAAGACACGTGTATAACTATGTTATCTAAGAAATGACTCGAATCGCGGTTCAGTATTAAAATTTCAAAAGCATTCGTCTTGTAAGATATCGTTTCACATCTTGATTATATGCAAAATCCTTCGACAGGGCACTCGGAAGACGCGTTAAGATTTATCTCGTGTACCGTATTATCAACCCCACTAAGCATCTATTATGCGACGAGTATAACGTTTAACCGATAACCATCGGATCATCAGTTTAGGTTCTTTTCATAAATACTTCATTGAACTCCATATATATACCTGGATAAATACCCAGCGAAATCTAAATCGAATCGCGACAACACATATCCTCTCAGGAAACACTATACGTGAACTGGAGATTGGTTAATTGACCCGGATTAGAAACAAATCAGAGGCAAATTGCAAGGAACCGTATTGATCATTACCTTAAAATAATAAAGATTATGTTAAAAATAAAATGAAACAAAGAATTGAAATATGATCGATTCGATTATGATTTGATAAACGTTTTCTCATTCCGAATTAAGATCTTTTAACATCAAAATGTTTGTTTCATTTTAAGGTTGGATCATTGCTTTTTCTTTAACATTGAATTAAACGTGAAATTTGTCATTGAATTTTCAGGAAACTGCAATTATACGATGTACATATGTATACTCAAAATGATTATCGCGTTATCAATATCGCAAAAATTCTGAAAATTCGATCACGTGTCTCGTTAGAAAAATTTCACATTTTCTTGTATCCGTTGCCTTTGTCGTTGACGTATGTCGAATAAATCAACATACGTCCACTTAAATTTTGATATCTTCCTATGTTTTGACGTTCGATATTTTATATCCAACGATATTATTAAGCGTTGCACTCGGAACACTAGCTTGTATATATAACAAGAACGAGATGTCGAAAAGAGCAGATCGGCGCAAATTGGGCAATACGCTTCGAACTTGTTCTCCCTTTGTTTCCATGAAATTGAAAATAAATGGAGATCTGATATCGATTTTGAATGAAATTACCTCCCTCCGTTTGACAAGCTGGACAAAATGAGAAGGACAATTTAGCGTCCTTTGCTTTCTCGTAGCCAGACTTACACGACAGCACTGATTATTCCTAACATCTTGTTCCTTACAGAAGGTCAACCAGTGAATTAATTGGATTATTGGATCTGTTTACAGGCTGTGGTATTCATTCAACGATGCATGTTCGTATTTGCCATCTTACTTTGTTACTTTCATGTTCAGAGTGAAAACGTGGATTGCGAGTACGTATACATATTTTTATCAAATTTAGTGATACAAAAAATACGAACATTAATTGTATTCTTCATATTTTCATAGAATGTATCCATACCATCATACCTGTCGAGGCACTATGTCAAGGAAGCGCGCAATGTTTCCAATTGTGTACGGTTCGGGATGTGAGAGCAGTAAAGGAAATATAAATTGCATCAAAGAATTTGAAGAAACACATCGTATTCCCTACATTCCACTATCAAAGTCAAAACTTCTAATTGCTTTGCTTGGCGATGTAAGTTATGCTGTTATCTTTTCTGTCTGAAATTAATTAAACAAAGTTGTAAAATATTAAGCAGGTAATATAAAACATGGTTGTTAAACTGTTATAGGATTTGCAAAGGGATATTACACGATCTGTTCGTCATAAATTAAGGAACGATGAAATGAATAAACCAGCCTTAATGGAGAACTTTTTATCAGATTTGGAATCTTCGGACAACTATTGAATGAAATGAACAGGAAATAAATATTTTCTCGGCTTGTGTAAACATTTTTCATTACTTAAATATTCGGAAATGTATGTTTAGAGTTCATTTTCTACTATATGCCCGAAATAAAATCCTTTCTCTCTATCCTCTTTCTTTGTTGTGAAAAAATGTCTATATACTTCCTTATCTTTCTGTTGTTTCTTTTATTTAATTTATCATTTCTGCTTTTTTGTTATCTTTAAACCGAGTTACAATTAAATCATTGTATCTACATTACTAACAATACACATGTGCTACAGTATAAAGAATACATTTGAAATTCAAAGTAACTCCTTGAATTATCCTACTAAAGAAGTAAAAAAATGAAAAAAAGAAAATAAAACCAAACGAATTTAAAATATTATTTTACGCAGTATTATAATATGTAATATAGCTATTATGTATTAAAATCTAGTACATAAATCAACCTAAAACGAATAACATTGTTTTCGGTACGATAGGAAGAGAATGAATTAGTAACAAAATCATTTGTTTTTAGCACTACGTTATTCCTTATATTCTTTACATATTCGTAATATTCGTAACATAATAATTAAAATTTTATGATTATTACAGTAAGTTATTGTGCAATTGTCCTTAAAACTGTATTTCGTAGAAAAAAGGAAAAGAACATTTATAGGTTAATGTTTATCCTTTTCTGTAATGATATAAAAATAAAACAATAATATGAATGATAAAAAATGACCAAATGATATAGAAGGCAATATAAAAGTTGATAATATATATAATGTATAATAAATTGATTTACAATAATTGTTATATATATAATAATTAATTCAACTTAAAATTATTAACATGTATAAAGAAAGGAAATTATATTCAAGCTTAAATTGTTTCCCGCTTTCGTTAGTTATGTGTTGTGGAGCATCAAATCGTAAGAAAAGAGAAATTAGATAATGTTGAAAGGATAAGTAAACGATGAATAATGTTAATGAAATATACATTTTTTACTGAAGTGTGAGAAATGAAGCTTATCATGGGAATCGTTTTAAATTATAATTATAATTATATTAAAACGAAGTTATTGCCGAGGTTATGTAGAAAATCATACCATAAAAATACAGTTGATTACACGTGGACTTTACATACATTTCCAAAATCTTTAAAAAAATATAAATACTTCCTGTCGTACTATAGATATGAAACGAATGCAGCTACTGTAAATAAAAAAATTGATATTAAATGTGGAGTTAGACCTGAACATGAAATAATGCATTCGATATTTGAAAATTCAGTACATTATAGAAATACTGTTTTTCCACAGTTTAAAATAATTCCATCAATTACTGTTGAAGATATAACATGCCTATATACAACATGTTGGTCAAATGAATCTGCAAAAAGCATTCTTAATGCTTTACAAAAATTAGCATATTGTCATCTAAATGAATCAGAATTAGAATTGTCATACTGTGTAGATATTTTACATAGTTGCACAGAAAAATGGAAAACATGGAATAATGAACAAATATTAAAGTTAATGCAATCTCTAATTGTATTACATAAACCATTAGCATGTGTAAATAATTATGAAGCATTCATAAAAAAATTAAACAATGAATGTCTAAAACGATTTTATTCATCGAATACTGAGCAATTGTTACTATTGTCAGATGCATTTTATCAGCTTAATAATATAACTTCTGATTATATGTGGCGTGCATTAAGAAAATTAGGAACGAAACCACATAAACTTTCTGCAAAGTCACTAGTTCATTTTTTATTTCTTGTCACTGTACCTTATATAAAGATACCTATAAATATGTTTGAAATTGAATGTCATTTAATAAATTGTCTAGATGAGCTTACTGTAGATGAAATAGGTATCGTAGCAAAAGGATTTTTTTTATATAAGAAACATATTCAAAATAAACAATTAGCATCTGCTATAATACAAATACTTATTAAATATTCCAAGACCATAAATAGTAACTCTTTGGGATCAGTTATGAAGCTTCTTAGGTAACAAACCAACTTATTATTCACTAATAATTTTTTTATTCTATTTATTATTATACATGTAATTGTGTCTTTACTTTTATAGATATTCAGGCAGTAACCATGATGTCATTCTATTCCAAAAGTTACTAGAAGTGTTATGTAAAGAAATACCACGATTACAATTGCCGTGTTTAACAGCCATTGCACATGCCACTGCAGGATTACGTTTATATGATGAAATTCTAATAAATAACATTTATAAAAGGTAAATTAAGCAGTAGAAAAACAAAAATAACACATTCATTTATATGTTATTTCATATGTGAAAATTATTTAACTTTGATTTAGTCTAGGAAATACATTGCATTCCAGCAGAATAAAAGATATAGAAAGAATTCTTTTTGCTTTATGTACAATTACTCCTGAGACAGATTACTATGTGGCTGCATGCAACAAGATTATTAATCATATAATGTTAACTTACACCACATATAAGGCACCTGAAATTCACAAGTAAATTTGTTTTTCATATAAAATTTAAATATGTTAGATGTATAAGTATTAATTTTGTAGAAATTAGTAACTCCATTACATGTTAAATACAGATTTCCATCATCGTTAGTACGTATGTTATCATTCTTAACAATGAAAAATATATATATACCGGAATTAATACAATTCATATTTGATCCTAAATTTATGAAAAACTCATTAACAATTGAATACTTAATTTTACATTGTTCAATTAAAATAGACTTGCCTAATTATGAAGGTCCATTACTGTCAGAAAATAAGTATGCATTTCTAACAAAGGTATAATATATTATATAAAATTAATAATCTAAATTTTCTAATTAAATAATTAAATATAATGAAATGATTTGTTTACTATTATAGAAATATAGTCATGATGATGAAGACATATATAGAAAGGACAATTGTATGCAAATGAAATGTGAAATTGTGTTTATTTGTAAGGTATGTTTATAAAATTATATTGCAAAAAAAACTGTTAACGTAATTATATATGTTTAACATATTAATTTTAGAACAATTTGGGATTAAATGTACACGTGGATTACATTTTACCACATTACTCAAGTCGAGATATTGTTCTTGGTTTTGACAAGTATAACAATTCTGTTGAAATTGAGCCTATTTTATCAGCAATGCCAATGTATTCAATTAAAAGAGTAGACAGTGTAGAGTTAAAAACAATAAATTGGATAATTCTACCCATATTACTGAAAACAGTAAGAGTACATGGTCATGAGGGTTATATTGGAATCATCCATAGAAAGTTGAGACAACTTAAAACCATTGGATATACACCAATTCCAGTAATTTCCAATTATTTATTACAATAATATATAAATGTTAGGTTCATTTAAACATTTTCATATAATGTATATGTACTAATATCTTCAAAATTTGCATAGATTTGTCAAGATATTTGGAATCAGTGCCATAATGAGAACAAAGCAAAATATTTAAAAAGTTTAATTTATCAAGAGACTTTTATGTTTCCAAACGGTGTGCCTTAAAATTACAAGTAAAAAGGTAACTCGTAAAAAATTAATTATTTGTTTATTTATTTCAAACTTTTGCTGGCGAATATTGTCTCGCCATATTTTCTGTATGAAATAAGTTTATAAATAAAGAAGCTAAATATTTCTCATTAAATGCATATATATATAAATATAATCTTTTGTATCAACTATTCTCAAAGAAATCGAGCATAAATTTTTTGGTATATTCATAAGTTACAAATAATGTAGCTGTTGCTGGTACTGTCCTTATTAATGTTGGTTTTAAACCATTGTACAAGGAACTGATACCCTCATTTCTCACAATGTCTTTCATAACTACCAATGCTGGGGTTTTTAAATTCTTTACCTTTAAAAAGAAATTAAAATGTAAATACAAAATTTAATCATACTTCTAATTCATATTATTTAAATTGCATAAAATAAAACTAACCTGTATTCTACTTTTAATTACATCCGCTGGAAATATTACAAGCCATAAAACACTTCCACCAACAGCACCAGCTACCATGGTTTTCTGCCACCCAATATCATCCTTACTTTCATTTGGATTTGTTAGAAGTTCTCTGGTCACTTCATACCCTCCAAAAAAAAAGAAATAACCAGGCATTTCACGTGCTATAGTTGATGATAAACCAGTAAATAATCCTTTTATGCCCTGTTGTTCAAGAATTTGACGTGTCAGCCCCCATGGTCCAATTTCTTTCTAAATAAAGTATTTATTCTTAAAACTTCAGTTCTATGAATTTTTGTATATTAATTTTTCTTCTTCTTTTGTCTTAGTTACCCTAACTCCAATTACTGATGATTTTGTTTCCATTTGAACTTCTCTTACTGCTTGCAGTTTACATTTTATGAGTTCTGTAGGACATAATGTTAATGAAGAAAAGAATGCTGCAAAAAATCCAGCCCAAGCATTCTGCATTGAAGTTAACTCTTCTATTTTTTTGATACCTATACAAATCAATTTTTTTTTAATTAAAAACTGTATCTTGTATTTGTAAAGAACTATCTTACCTAAAATATTAGAAATAACTTTTTGACATCCTCCATATGCTGCAAACAATACTGAATTTTCAGCAACATTAGCAACTAGTGCAGGTATAGTTCCTGCATATAAACCACGCATTATTCCATCTGTTTTTAGTGTTTGCAAAAAGCAATTCATCATTCCTTTATACATAGTAGGAAAAGTTTGCATTTTTACCTTAACTGTATCTAATGGTTGTCCAACATATACAAGTGCTATCCCACCTTAAACCACAATAAAACAATGATATAAAACAAAGACACATAAATTTAATTAATTCTTTCGTTGCAAGGGTTTTGTTAAAAAATTGTATTAATATTTCACTTTATTTGTCATTAATGATCGGAATAATTACTAATTAATAACAATAAGGTTAAACACTTTTCAATAATATTGAATTTATTCGTAGTAGGAAATATATTTAATGGAAAATAATAGAAATTATAATAAAAGATACAGATGTAAAAAATTTAGCTTGTAATTTATTTCTTTAAATTCTATTGAATTTAAAACTGTTTATTTTAGAGATAAAACCAGTGATATATTAAGACAATATTATTCTTACCAAGTGATCCAGAAATAAAGTCAATTAAACCAATTTTAATATTTTTCAATTGTTGATTTCCTTTTTCACTGAATTCAAATGTCATGTTTATATATCCAAATAAGTAAATTTCTAATCCTAACACTTAGTAAAATAACAGGTTAACACGTGATTTTTCCGTATCTGTTATCTGTCTTCTTGTTATTCAATAAAAAAGTGGGAGGCTATTTGCTGATTATAAATTAGTAATATTATTTGTAATTTCAATTTCATAATTCTTTTATTTACACAATGATATTCACATTTCTAATTCTACGTGTATGTAGTATTTACACGCATGCGTATTTATATTTACACGAAAGTGATAAAGAAATTGTCCATTGATCGATAACAATTTAAGTATTATACAGTTAATACGCATTTAAAGATCATGTTTCATATATTCATGTATGCTAATAATTTATTTATCCTCCTTTAAGATAAATTTCAGAGTAATTTTCTAATTATACAAATTCACCTTTTATGTTACTTATTCCGTTATCCTATAATTGTATGTATAATATACAATAATCTAATTGTATACCAATAGTATACTTATATAATGACTAAAATATCAAGCGTTCACAATTTACTCTAAAATAGTTTATGTTTTGGTATAATATATGTATCTTAAAGTAAATCTTAATCAAAATGAAATAGTTACAGTTTGTAAAGCATGATAAATAATACATGTCCAATATTCTAAAAACCTAAATTTTTATTGAAGCTACTTCAATTTTATTCTTACAAAGAAATACTTGAAAATGGTTGTCATGGAAACACAGTGTTACAGCTTTTAAATTCTACATTACTAAATTAATTACTTTATTATTTTAGATCGATTTTGAGAAAAATTGGATCTTTTTCGTCATTCTCCATATTTCGTTGGTTCAATGATTGAAGTAGAAAAATGGAAGATCATAAACTCCGATACATTATTTACAGATATTTAAAATAAAATTTAAACTGAATTATTTTACTGAAATACACGCAGTTTAGTAAATCAAGAAAGTTACTAGATCGTTGTATTCAAGATATACATGTATGACGTACGCGACAGCCTTAGTTCCAAAACATGGATTTTCTCAGTTATATTTTCAATTAAATGGTTATTGTTTTTTGATCCGTTTTAGTTAAGGAAGCATTGAATTTTATCTGTGCTGTAGAAAAACCATAAAATTCAGTACGATGATCGTCTTTTTTGTATTACGAAAATAGGGAAAGTGTATGTGTTTTAGTAGATCTGCCATGATAGATCCGAACGCGTCTTCGCCTTATTCCAAAAAAGTCAGAGATTGGTAGCAAAATGTGTGATTTTTGTTGTCCGGAGAGCTTCTTAAAGGTAAGCATATCATCCAACCAAAATTTCATGATTTTCACTATTTTTCAATATCTTAATATGAAAGTAAATTCTCTTATTAAATTGGAGCGCAGCGTGCCTCTAGGAGCGCTCTGGCTCGTCTGCGCCATTAGCGTTCAGAGCATGATCGCCAGATATTTCTATTATATTATCAAAATAGCACATTACTATGACGAACTATTTTTTTAGAGTATTATTGCTTATACTCCTTTCTTATTTGATTTTTTCTGAGCTCAAAAAAGAGATAATTGATTAGTGATTAATGTGATGGTAATTCCAAATTTTTAGTATTCTTTTCAAAAGAATATATTTTTTCAATTAGTTACTTGTCGTTCTTTCACACATTATTCAGCTTATACATTTTTATCCTAAAAATTAAAAATTATATTTATAATCAATGTGTGTCCTCTATAAAAATTTATATACTCTTTTACTTTACTGTATGCCATTTAATTATTGTTTTTAAAATTTTCAATGTATTTATTTCCTTTATGTCAAGAAAAATGTCAACAAAAGATTTTATTTCTATTATTTTTAATACAGTATAATGGACAATTATATTTTGTTTTTATTGTTACAAAACATTAAAAACTAGATATTATTTGATGCTACAAAAAGATATATATATATAATAAATATGTGTAATAAATGTAAGTTATAGGTAAATTTAGAAGAAATCATTATTTTTTGTACAATTGCATTCTTAAAACATATATTCATATATTAAAATGAAAGTAAGAACTTTTTCTTTAATTGCTTGTATTAATTGGAAATTTTCATTTTATACTTCTGCAGTAAAAGTATAGATTACAGAATGGTGGTGGATTGCTTATCCATTCAAGGCTCAGTAGCTATAATACGGAAGCAGGAGCGAAGATTAGGTGGGTTAGTGGCTGCAAAAATGCAACCTAACAATGTTGGTAGTTGTGGTGGTATGACACCTAAAGAACTTTCTGACAATGATGACCTAGCTACTTCTCTTGTGCTAGATCCTTACCTTGGATTTACCACTCATAAAATGAATATCAGGTATGTATTATCAAATAATACTTTAAATTTTCAGTATGTCTAATTGGAGATTATTATGTATAAAACTAATTTAATACTATAGATACAGGCCATTAAAAGCAAATAAAGATGAGCTTCGTAAAATTATTTGCGAATTTATTCAAACACAAAATTATGAAAAAACATATAGAAAGTTAATGGGTGGTGACTGGGGTGCAAGACTTCCTCATACAAAATCTAAACAACAACAAATAAATTTAGAAAAACATGTGAGTTATATATGTAAAATATATTAGAAAATTATTAAATTACTAAAGTGAGATATCTTATTGGAGTAATCCATAAGGGGTTAATTGCTTTAATTACTTTATATCCCAAAGTTATTTATTATATCAATGTTATTTTTCATTTTTACAGATTTACAGATATTTGAAGGTTTTTGATAAAGATTCTGGATTTGCAATAGAACCATGTTATAGGTATAGTCTTGAAGGTCAAAAAGGTGCCAAGATTTGTGCAACTCGAAAGTGGCTAAAACATGATAAAATATCTTGTCTTGTTGGCTGTATTGCAGAACTTAGTGAAAAGGTTTGTTTAAGCTCATAGATAAAATACTCAAAAAGGTATCAAAATTTTTTTTCAATTTATTGCATTTTTAAAACATTATTTTAGGAAGAAGCAGCACTATTACATCCAGGAAAAAATGATTTTTCTGTTATGTTTAGTTGCAGAAAAAATTGTGCACAATTATGGTTAGGTCCAGCAGCATATATTAATCATGACTGTAGAGCTAATTGCAAGGTTGATACATCTGTACAGTTTATTACTATTTTGACTATGTCAGTTACAGAAAAATACTAATCTATTTCACTTAATCTATACAAAATACAGTTTGTGGCAACAGGAAGAGATACAGCTTGTGTTAAAGTCCTTCGTGACATTGAAGTGGGAGAAGAAATTACTTGCTTCTATGGAGAAGATTTTTTTGGAGATGGTAATTGTTATTGTGAGTGTGAAACATGTGAGAGGAGAGGAACTGGAGCATTTGCAAATCAAAAGCCAGGAGAAGAACTTTCCTCTGGTATTCTTAAAAAGTGATGAATTCAAAATAATGTTAATATATGTATATGTTCACCAGCAAGTTGAAAATTTTTACAGGATACCGGTTACGAGAAACGGACAATCGCATTAATCGTACGAAACATAGACAACAGCCGTTAAGTCGAAATAAACAACAAGCTGATACTGCCCTTACAGAAAGAAATGCAGTGCTTGTTGGTAATGCTGCCGTAGCGCCACAAAGTCTTAGCATGAAAGAATTACGAAGAAAGGGTTTAACAAAATATGATGCGGAATTATTAATTGCACAAGGATGTCGGTTTTCTGACATTGCTCAACAGCAACCTATTACAAACAATGGTGAAAATGTATTACAAACATCCCGACCTCATCCCTCTGCTATTACGAGTTCCGTGACAAGAAATTTACGAAATAAACAATTATGTAAATTTGACAGTAACAATAGCCATCAGAATAATGCTAAAAATCATACACTTCGATCATCCAGGTGAGATTTTTTATTTCATAATTTAGAATATTCTAATTGTAAAAAAAAACATTATTACATTAAAAATTTTATATACAGACTTCATAAAAGAACAGAATCAAAGAAGAACAAGATTTCTGAAAAGGCTGGGTCCCCTTGTTTGAATGGTTCCATAGTAAAAAATATTGAACTAGAAGAAATAAGTCATCGTAAGGAAGATTCTGATAGAGTAGATGAAGAAATTATGTTTTCTAGATTACATAAGACTCATTCAAATGTTTGCCATGTTCAAACCTCACATCATGATATGCTAGAACAATCAACTTGTTCGAATCTTCAAATAGAGTGTCCAGATACATTCACTAAAAACAACAGAGAACTAAATAGCAAATTAATAAATGAGAAAGAATTACCTGATATTATTATAGAAATTAATTCTAATTCAGTAGGTAATATTAATACTTCCAATTCTAAAAAGGAACACTATAGTACAAATTCCTGTGATTCAGTTCATATAAGTTCCATGCCTGAAAGTCGATTAGATGATTTACATAAAACTAATAAGAATGAAATAATTCAACAAGAAAATCATCAGTTAATCTGTCCTTATAATTTGTCTTTGGTGGAAAATTCGAAAGATACAAATAATATTTCTACAACGTCAATAACATCAAATAATTGTGTCAAACAATATTTAGAACTTGAAAAAGAAATTTCAAAAGAAGAAAAAGGCAAAAGTTATGAATCCGTCTATGAGGATTATTCTTACAAAGCCGAAGGACAAATATCCTTAGTTCACATAAAGTCGCCTAAAAGTTCGGATTATATAGAAACAATATCTACGCTTGCTTTACCTGAACCTGATAAAGTTTTAGAAAAAAATGATTCTATGAGTTCAAATACATTGGTTAAATATTTAATTGAAAATGAAGCAAACAAATTTGATAGGTTTGTTTCAAACTCTAGCAAGTCTTCAGGTAATAATGAACATGGTAATATAAATATTACTGAAGAAAATAAAAATATAGAAAATAGTGAAAGAAATTGTCAAAATGATTTAATTATAAAAAATAATATGTATGTAGTGAATGTTGGACCGCCTGAAATAAAATCTGAAAGAACTGAAACTGTTGAAATGTATACAACAGAACTAGATTCTCGAATAGATTCCTGTAAAGAAAATAATAAAAATTTCAGTACTATAGAAATTAATAATTACAACGATATTATCAAATGTAACTTAGATGATACTCATAATTCTATTTTAAAACAACCTACACAAAAAAATGAATCATTGCATGCAACATTAAGATCCCACAAAAGTAGAAGAAAGCTATTGAATGAAAAGAAATCAGAAACTTCTGAACTAAGAGAAGAATTAGGAAGTGTTATAGAACAGAAAATTACCGATAATATGATCGGAACTATTTCAAAAACTCGCAGCAAAGCAGAAAAAACAAAAAGCAGGTTAACAAGAAGTCAAAAAAGGGATCGAAAGAAAATAGCAACTACTGAAATTGGTGTAGCTGACGACGATTCTGGTATTCAAGGTGATATTTATGAATTTAGTGAAAAAGAAAGTAACCTGGAAGATGTAAGAATACCATCCATAATGCGACGTAAGCAAGAAACTCGTCATACATCTGGACTCACACCACATTTACAAGAAATGCAATACAACGATGAATGCAATAAAGCTGAACCTCCAGTATTACTTCCACAGGAACCATGGCCACCCACTAATTGCAGCCAGAATCAATTGTTAGATTCAGATGGTAATAGTCGATCGAGAGAAAATTCCATAGATAATGAAAGCCTAAAGAGGTAAATATTTTTGCATTGTGTTTGTATTGCAAGATTTTTTGTTTAAAAAAGTTTATACATAAAAAATAATTTATTATAGATTATCATCTTGTAGTAACGATAGTCCACAGAAGTTAACAACTTCTTCAGACTATCAATGGCAAATGAATAATTCTAATTGTCAAGTATGTCCTACTACTCCAGAGAGAACTGGAAGATTAAAACTTACTCTCCGCATGAAACGTTCACCTGTTTTAGAAGACATTGTAGAATCGGGTACGAGTTTAAGTGAAGATAGCTACGAACCGGAATATGAAGTATTACGTGTAGAGGGTGTGGAAAAAAGTAGACGTAAAAAGAAACATAAAACCCGAGATCGTGAAAGACGGCACAAGAAGCGTGAACTAAATCTTGATCCTCCACCACCACCTATGAAAAGGTTGCGTTTAATTTTTGGCAATGAAACACATACTATCGACTTTCCACATTCTTAACAGCTATAACTAGTAATTTTCAGTACTATCCGGAACAAATTATGAATACAATTTAGGCATATAAAATCAGGTCTCCTTGTCCTGTAACATCATGAATTTCTTTATAGTTTGACAATTTTAAGCGACATATGCTATCATTAAATTTCATAGAGTTAATGATAAAATTATTGTGTTCTGGTTTGTGTTATCTTTTACTGTTAAATTTTGTCTTGCTTCTCATTCTTCTAACAACGAATAATTAAAGGCCTAGTAAAACGTTTCCTGAGAGAAATGGAAAATAATAATAAAAAAACAGTATGTATTAATTTATATGTTATGCAGTAAATATTTGCGAAAATTCTATAGTTCTGTTCAAAATAGTTAACACATAACCAAGTAGTTCATTGCTAATTCATTCATAATAAAATTAGTATTTTATTTTACTTTTGTGGCAACCTGCTTCTTTATTAATACACAGTTTCGATATAGTTTCGATACAGCAAGCAGGTTTTGAAACCTATAGTCTTTCATTATCAGTTCATTTTTGACTTTAATGAGTTTATATTATTAAATAATTTTTTACTAATAAAATATTTATATCATATACAAAGTGTACACGTGTAGGATAAAGAACTCTTCCTTATATTAAGAACACAGGAAGGATATAATGAGTTAAGTTACAGTTAAGTACTACTTCCATAGATGAGGACAAAGGAGAAAAATCCATACTATTATAATATGTATAATAATAATAATAATAATAATACTATCTTCCTTACTTTTTATATGAATATTTAATTGCCGCAAAAAATGGTGCCCTTTTTTCTAAAAAAAAACTCGTATTTTTCGAAAACCGAGAATGATGGAACAATTTTGATTACACGTTCGTGCTCAGGAACGTAACTCCTACGAGAATCACCCAGTGGATATTACGGATTGGAGAAAAAGTTGAAATTTACGGAACGGTGTAATGAGTTGCTTCCGAAGGGTGTAATCCGTCTCGTCAATTTGTCGGATATGCTGCGTGCGAGGATAACTGGATTCGGCTCGTTTTTCATTTTCGCGACCGAGGGATTATCATAAATAGACGGAGATACACGGTATCGGGGTAAATTCGTTTAAAATAGCCCTGCCGCGGAAAGAGCTCGAATTAAATCTGATTAGCGAGAGACGACGCGGCCCGTAAATTTGAGAGGCGAGGGTTAATGGAAAAGACACACGAGACGATAATTTGAAGCGACGGGTCTCGCGGTCTCGCAAGGACGCGCGTACGGTTTCAGGATGAACGTTTTAAAAATACGGAAAATACGTAGCTCGGGCGGGAAACTCTAATACCCCTGCACGGATCAGCCAGAAGCTCATTCTGAATTTCCCAGGCCTCTCGAAATAATTACCCCCCGCGTGCATTTCTTCGCGCGTCGTTCGATTGCGAATTCCCCGTAATCAGGAGTCGTTAACGACGTACCAAGCTGGGTTCCCCGTTTTGTCCGCGAAAATCTCGACGCGGATCGCGAGGACGAGGGAAAGATACTCGAGAAACGGTGATAATTATACGCGAGCCGGTGCTGCAAGGCATCGTTCGTCACGGTGTATCGGGTTTATCTTTGTACGGTCGACTGAATAGAACCGCGCCACCGGATTTACCTCTACAGCATAACGGATATCCTATTATCCATTAACATATAACCGGGTCGACGACACCTCGCGCACTGCCGTTCGCTGCAGGACTCGTTGATTTCGCCGGGACGTTGCCCGCCTGACTTCGTTTTCTCGTTTCGCGCGACCGCGTGATATTTCCAGCGCCAGTCGGGCTAACGTCGTTAAACAAGTGGAATAATTGTCTGTCACAGCGACGGGGCTGTCACTCGAATTAGAGAGCTCTCGGGTAATCGAACCATCTAACGACGTGTACCGTTTTAAATCTTTCAAAGATTCAAACGTGTCACGGGGGGTCGATTACCTTTCCCGTTCCATTTTCGTCCTCAAGTGGTGGTAGTAGTAGTAGTAGTAGTAGTAGTAGTAGTGGTCTAGTAGCAGTAGTAGTAGTAGCAGCTACAGTAGCAGTAGTAATAGCAGTAATATAGTAGTAGTAGTAGTGGTGCTACTGCTACTACTAATATATTAATAATAATAATAATAATAATAATCTTAATACTAAAAATAATAATAGTAATAGTAATAATAATGATGATGATGATGATAATGACGATGACGACGACGATAACGACGACGACGGCAATGATGATGATGATAATGATAATAATAATGATGATGCCGATGAAGATAATATCGATGATAATGATGGTGGTGATGGTGACAGCGATGACGATGACGATGACGATGACGATGACGATGACAACGACGACGACGACGACGACGATGATGATGATGATGATGATGATGATGATGATGATGATGATGATGATGAT